ACGACAACGAGATTGCGCAGTCGGAAGCGTACTTTAACTTTGGCCAGTGGATCAACTACTTTGTGCACACGGGGCACTTGAACATTGAGGGCCTCAAAATGTCGAAATCACTCAAGAACTTTGTCAAGATCAACCAGGCGCTGGAGCATCACACGCCGCGCCAGCTCCGTTTCTTGTTTCTCCTGCACAAGTACAACGTGCCCATGGACTACAATGACAACACGATGGACGAAGCGGTTGGCGTCGATGCATTTTTCACCAAGTTCTTCCAGAACGTCAAGGCTACATTGCGTGGCACATCGATCGACCGGTCGCAAAAGTGGTCGGCTGCCGAGAAAGCACTCGGCCAAGCGGTGCTCCATGCCAAGGACAGAGTCCACCAAGCCCTCGCCGACGATCTCGATACCCCCCTCGCCCTTCGGCTGCTCCAAGAACTCGCCAAAGATGTGAATCGATACGTGGCATCGTCCCCGTCGCCCGTGTCGCTGGCCATCCGATCCGCGGCCGACTACATCACGCGCATTCTGCGCATCTTTGGGCTCATCCCGAATGGAGGAGGTGGTGGTGGGGACATTGGGTTTCCGCTCGAAGGCGCGGCGGGCGGCGGTGGTCAAGAAGCGATCCTCGCGCCGGTACTCGACATCTTTTCCGACTTTCGCGATCAAGTCCGCGCCGTGCTGTTTGATGCCGACGCGACGTCGCTCGAACATGTCAAGCAGACACTCATGGCGCTCTGCGACAACGTCCGCGACGCCAAGCTCCCCCACGCCGGCGTCCGCCTCGAAGACAAATCTGGCGGCAAGGCCGTGTGGAAACTCGCCGACAAGGACGTCCTGCTCGCGGAAATCAAAGCCAAGGAGGACGAGAAGGCGGCCAAGGACGCCGCCAAGGCCCAGCGCGCCGCGGACGAGCTCCAGAAGATCGCGGACGAACGACAACGCGCCCAAACCCACCCGAAGGACCTCTTCAAGGCGTCCCCCGAGTACGTCGCGTTCAACGACCAAGGTCTCCCCACGGCGCTCGCGTCCGGCGAACCCGTGGCCAAGAGCCTGCTCAAGAAACTCGCCAAGGAACAAGACAAGCACCAAAAGCTGTACGACAAGTACCACAAGTAGTTAGATCGGGAATACCTATCCTGGTGCCTGCGTACATCGACAACAACTGATCAGTTCCTTGCGTCTTTTCAACACTGTCCTAACATGTTGCCGCCGTGACATGTGCTGCATGTACGCTGCGGAACTCACCTTTCGTCCATAACGTTGTACGTTCCTGTGTGGTGCTCCATCTGCAAGCCGGCACAACTTGAGCGTTGTGCGTTCCTCCCTGCCATCTCGATTCTTAGCACCCCTGCAGTCTCGATTCTTAGCGTCCCTGCCGTCAGCATCATCATCTACTGTTGTACTTTGCGGCACTCGCCATCATCTCGTCGTTGGAGCGGCCATCCATCATCATGGTACCAGTACTACTGGGAGTGAAAACCTCTTTGAACTTGATATTCCCGGAATCGATTCCAAGAGGTTTCAATTCCACCAATGAACGGGCGTCGTGTTGGTTGGCTGGTGTGGGGGAGACGTTCTGATTGGCTAAAAATCGACTCATTTTTGGCGTGTTTGTTTGGCTGGTTCTCGTGTATTGGCAGCTTTGGGGGTCGGAAGCTCATTTTCATTGTCCCTTGAAAAACATCCTCCAAGATGCCGAAGATCAGTCGTCACCGAAACTACCGTAAGACCTACCGCACGCCGTCGCGCGCGTTCGAAAAGGAACGTCTCGACCAAGAGATGAAGCTCTTGGGCGAGTACGGTCTTCGCTGCAAGCGCGAAATCTGGCGTGTCCAGTACACGTTGGCCAAGCTCCGCAAGGCCGCGCGTCAGCTTTTGACGTTGGACCCGAAGGACCCCAAGCGCTTGTTCGAAGGCCCTGCCCTCATTCGCCGCTTGAAGCGATACGGTCTGTTGGCGGACGACGAAAACGAATTGGATTTCGTGTTGCAAATGAACACCCAAAAGTTGTTGGAACGCCGTCTCCAAACCAAGGTGTTCAAGCAAGGTCTTGCCAAGAGCATCCACCATGCGCGTACCTTGATCAAGCAACGCCACATCCGTGTCGGCCGCCAATTGGTCGACGTGCCTTCCTTCATGGTCCGCCTGGATTCGGAAAAGCACATTGACTTCTCCGTCACGTCGCCTTATGGCCAAGGCCGCCCCGTACGTCCACCACAGATATTTGGTAGATTCATTCCTTGTTGCTTATGTTGGTTCTGTGTGTGAATAGGGCCGTGTCGCCCGCAAGCGCGCCGCGCAACGCGCCGCCGCCGCCAACGGCGGTGCTGACGAAGAAGACGACGAATAAACTCGTCGCTTTCAAGGATGACAACGTTGCAAGACTGGTTGTTTGGTAGAGGGCATATGATGAAGTAAAAGACTCGCTATTGAATAATACACGGCAGTCCTTTATGTTGGATGCTGCAGTTGGGACTATGTTGGACGACTTGGTTGGCGACGACTAACTCATGCAGGTTAGGTAGGCGTGATGACATGTAGCAATACAATTGTAGCTAGAAGTATGTGCCTATGAGTGTAACCTGAACGAGTGAACAGTGAGTAGTAAGTATTAATAGTACTTTGAGATACAAGAGTAATAATCGTGTTAATCAAGAGTTGGACATCGACGTGTACTGCAAGTACCATATTCCTAACTTTGAGAGTTAATCGTTAACTTCACGCTGAGAAAGCTCTCGTCCATGGGGTGGGTGGCCATACCAGTTACTACGTAGTATAACGTTAGTTAGCTGACTGAGAGCTCTTATTGAGTTTGGTAACTAGTAAATTAGTACAGTAATAGTAATACGAAGGTTCTTGTGTGTTGATGATAATGACGGCATTTCCAACGGTTTAACTTCGTCGCTGTTTTTAGTAACGTTAACGTTAGTTACTGTAACGTGAAAACCCCGAAACCCCTTGATACTGATGAACTTGCACAAGCAACTTTAGCCTTACAGTTAATGCTGCTAAAGCGATCACGGTACATAGGAAGACACTCCTCCATGTATATATTTATATATAGATATATACCGTATATATATATTTATATGTATCGAACGTTATACCGGTCTAACGTATATGCGTGGAATGCGTGACGAGAGTTCATTTTTTGATAACCTAACGTTACATGTAAC